AGAGCTTTGGCAGTGGGTGTGAGGTGTTATACCTGAAGAGGTGTAAACCCCTACTCCAAAATTATATGCAGTATTGGACACCTTTTCATCAATAAAACTAATACAACTTAAAAATAAAAAGCTTCTAACAATTTTACAAGGTAAACAACTAAATGGGAAAATATTTGCCACAGGAAATTTTCCTAAAATCTGTAAAGTAAAAGAAAAGCAAGAGAAAAAAGGACAGAGGATATAAAGGACAGTTAAAGGCTTAGAAATAACAAAATGAGGGTCAAACTAATCAAAGTCAAATGGCTGGAAATTGCTCAGAGATTAACTTTTACTGTCACATTAACAAGGAATAATTCCAGTCATTGATTGATATTGGTGAACATGGCAGGAAAAATGCATCTTGATATGCTATTTGATGTAATTTGATAGAATACATGCAGGTAATATGAAAAACTAAGAATTTGGTCACTTACCTGAAAACCCACTTTCAGGGAAACGTTCACCAGAATAAAAATGTCCACAGACCTATAACAATGCTTACTGTAATGTCTCATATACATTCACTGCAACAGTGTATCCAGCAATATACCTGAAATCCTATGATTATATAATAAATTCTTACTATGCTGTTTAAAGAAATAGGGTTTTATGTGCTGACATTAAAGAATTTATCCTAGATACTTTATAATGACACTACAAACAACATGTGTGGTGATCCAATATATGGTTATACTTGTAAATTCATATTTTTAAAAAGAACACAAAATCATATAAATATAACAGTTTCATTTTAGAGTTTTCATGAACACAGCTGAAGACTATTGAAGAAGATACTTTTTGTGAGTCATTTTGAAAATTACAACTTTTGTGTTCTTGAAATCTTTTGGCACTAAGAAATAAGGTAGATGGGAACAAAAAAATTTAGGAGAAGTTCTGTTGGGGAAGTCAATCATCCGTGAAATGTATGCAAGGGAGCTCTAAAAGTTACGTTTTTACATTCAGTTCTATTGTGATTGTTTCTCAAAATAAATCAACATTAATATCTGCTAAGTCCAAATGGTACCTATTAAAAATATATAATACGGACCTCCCTGGTGGCGCAGCGGGTTAAAGCACAGCACTGAGAATCTGAAGCCACTTCCTCATGAGTTCGATTCCCGCCTGCCTCCTGCCCCGGAGGAGACCACATGGCGAGCCAGACCTCTCCTGACCCGCCTGCTGCTTCCCTCAGCAGTGTACTTCGTAGATCTGTCTGTTCTGTTCCCCACTCTGTCTCTGGTGAAGCCTCTCACCGCCCCTGAGCCGCTGGCCTGTACCCCAGTTCTGTATGCACAAATAAATAAATAAATCTTTTAAAAATATATATATATAATCCTATGTGAATCCTGAATTAATTTTCAAGTGATATATGCCATATTAATGCTACTCTTCTCAAATATATTTGGGTTATGTTTTTCTTTCAACCAATGATCTAATGATTTTGTAACATTGATTGTATGCTATATTAACTTACATTAAAAAGATATAATATAGGGCCCTCCCTGGTGGTGCAGTGGGTTAAAGCGCAGCACTGAGAAGCTTAAGCCACTTCCACATGAGTTCAATTCCCCTCCTGCCCCGGAGGTGACCAAATGGCACAGCAGACCTCTCCTGACCCGCCCGCTGCTCCCCTCAGCAGTGTTCTTCGTCAATCTGCCTGTTCTGCTCCCCACTCTGTCTCCAGTGAAGCCTCTCACCCTCCGCATCTCTGGCCTGTACCCCAGTTCTGTATGAATAAATCTTTTTTTTTTAAAAAAAAGATATAATATAGATCTTTAGCACCTTTATCTCTGAAAAGATGTGGTTGTTCAGATTCTACAATCGTGATTCACATAATTTTTCAGTTCCCTCTCTTAGTCATGTATTCTGTGCAGTCTTCCTAATTACATTTTTCTGTCGTTTCCTGTATTTCTCCATATCTAGTATCTTTTCAGACTGTATCTTTTCAAAACAGAAATAAATTAAAAAGTTCACTGTCTCTTCAATTTCTATTTTTTCATATTGTATTTTACACAAAATTGAATGTACAAAGTACATGAATGTAACATGAGAATGTTTGGAGAATGGCTTCTGTACACACCTATTGCCAAACCAGAATGAAGGGAAATAACAAATGTCCCCACTCCTCAAACTCAATGGACTTTGGTTGTGTAACCATGAAGATAGTATCAGCTCTAATTTCAAAATCAAGTAGTTAATCTACTAGTTCAAGATCAATATTAGAAGTTGAAAAATAAACACCTTTATATTTAAAGAGATACTCATCTGTGTTGTCCATAGTTATTTGCCCGCAAGAAAATGGCAGATAAAATGCTTTTCAGTTACTAGTTGATTTATAATAAGGACTTGCATATGTTGAGTGTTAAACAAGTGCCAAGTACCACTGACCTGTCATTTCCAATACTAAACACCTGGCTCCTATTAAACCATTTAATCTTGAAACTCTGTAGGAGAGCTGCTGTTATGATCAGTTTTCTATACACGAGGAAACTAACATAATAGGAAACAAAGATTATTTTTGTTAAAATCCCATGAGTAGGGTTTTATCAGGATTCAACACATACAAGTGGGGAAGTTAAGCTATAGATGGTTTCAGGAAATTGTTCAAGCTTTTAAAATCAGAAATCTGAATGATATCCAAATAGAAAACAAAAATAAAATTAGGAAGCAGAAAGTCCCGAAGTGCCTATTCATAACACCAAGCCAAGAGAAAATTCTTTATAAGCTCGGCTATGAAATCTATTCCTGAAAGTATAAGTCATTAGGTAGAACTAGCACATGTTTCAGTTAAGAATTTTTAAGATATCAGTAGGTACTCAACAAACATTTCATGACTTTATGCTTGAACTTATCTCATCAATAGAGGGTAGTCAGAGTGCAGAGTTATAATGTGTAATGTATAATACCAGGAAAATCACTGGTATTAGAATAACCTAGTTTTCTGGGTATACTACAGTTAGAATCTGCAATTCTGAGGTTGTGGCCTCAAAAGTGTATGTTAGAAATCTCACTGTTCATCTAGGAAAATGAGGATAAAAATATTAATAAACAATAATTTCTTTTCAACAGAGGTTTTCTTAACTCCTGAGAGGCCAGTGTGGGAGATAATTTGACTCCCAATTAAGAGATGAAGTTAAGCTCCCACTAACATGCTAGAGGTTTCCTTACTGAAAAATGAATTTCAAGCTGCTTCATTTATTGAGAATTGATAACAGAATAGAATAGCTGAAAATTACAAAACTTATCATAAGTTTTGACATAAATGGAGTGCTGTTTTAATAAAGGAATCACTAATTTTCCAGGAGAGAAAGAGAATGAGAACTCATCTTTTGAACATGCTGAAGGAAAATTTACCCTGTGTAACGTGGGCCAATGGAGCCCTCTATCATAGGAAGTAAAGTTGAATGAAAGGCAAGAATTAAAGTGTCACTCTCAGCCATTCTTGCTCCCCCCACCCAATTTTCCCCCCAACCCCTGAAAAGCACCAATTCCAGAAAACATGGTTGCTGAGGGAAGAGTCGCAGGCAGCCCCCCCACACACTGAACATCACCTCTTTCCTGCTATTCCTCGGCTGTGACAAGTCACAGGAGAATTGTGAGAGCTGTTGTGCCACAAATACAATGGCAAAGTGGCGTGGTGAGGGAGTCGTGAAGCATCTTGGCTCGGGCAAGTCTTATATTTCTTGCATCTTAAGGTCCAACATTGAAGGACGTGATGAGTAAAAGAAAAGACATCATGTGTCCCTTTTAGAGATGCACAGATGTTCCAAAGGAAGGGAATTAAAACAGAAAATTAAAAACCCCATGTATGCTGCAGAGGGTGAGACTGGGGCTGCCCTGCACTGCTCACTGTTGCAGACCCACGGGTGACGGAAATTCACTTCTGGTGTAATTTAGGAATGACAGGATTGATGTGCTACTCAGAAATACAAACTCACTGAGAGTTTGTCCAGGCAATGAGAGGTTTCCAGGAACTCAGCAAGCTGCCCATTTTGGATAAATACATTGGGTAAGATTTTGCTGTTACTAGGAAAATGTCCGATTACTCCAGAAGGTCAACAGTGTTGGAGATTAAAAAAAAAAAAAACCCTACAGGTTTTCTGTAATGTAAATGTAGTCACATGAATTCTGGCAACTCCACTGCAAACATTATTCAAAAGTTAAAGTCACGACTTCCTTGTCCATAAAGGATGGGTAGCAGTATCTTTAGACAAGTCTCAGTGACTGGTGCCCATTCTTCGGGTGTTTGTTTTTATGCATGTGCCTGCTAAGTTTGCCAAAGAACTGTGGAAGACCTTCCTTCCCACATGTATAGAATTAACTCTGTTTTGCACTCAGCTGACCAAAAATATGGAAGTGCCAACCCATAGTATTTGATGACTATAACATCATAGTAAAAGTTGAAATCTGGAAGTATGATTACTTCAGTTATTTTCTTTCTTTCTCTAGATGCGTTGCTAGAGATAAAAGTGATCTCTTAGGCCCCTGAGGAATGAAGCAACTGTTTTGCTTTGTAATATTCTGTCTGTTATTATTACCTGGCCAAAAGGGTGAGATAAGATCAGACAGGCCCAGAAAGCCTGAGAACAATCCACATGTCTAACAACCATAGTATGGGTGTGCATAGTTACCACTTACATGACTTCTTTCAGTATATCTAACTGTACACGAGTCTAGTGTTTCTGATGTTAAAACATACTCACCTCAACGAGCGTCTTCACCTTGACACAAAAAGAGAAAGGAATGGGAAGTTCAAATTCCAGGAATCTGGACTAGAGGGAGGAAGCTATGTATAAGTTCTCCATCTAGAAAAACACAACCAAACAAAACATAAAGTCCCATTGCTTGGAGGTGTCACACAACTCTTATGCTTTCTGAGATCCCACTACTTTGTGTATTGTACATTCTCTATTAAATAAACTCTGTCTCTTGCTTTATTATTGTTGTCATATGAAATACTTTTCTTATTTTTTACTGCTCTGCTGACTGTGGGAAGTGAGCGTCTCTTTTCACTTGTGGCTTTTAAGTGTCCCTGCAGCACTGTGAATATGGTCTGTGGGGTGATTTTCCTTTTGACTCCTGCCTGGTTGTTACTGATCCTTGGATTCTTTGTGAACAAAAGGTCGTGGAAACTCTTCACATGCTGCTGTGTGAATCCCAAGAAAATGTTCCCCAGAGGCCACAACCACCACTTCTCCTATGTCCTTGGCCAGATCATTCTGGGTTCACTGGTGGCTCCAACGATGTGGCTTTCTGTGGCTTTGCTCAATGGGACGTTTTATGAATGTGCCATGAGTGGGACAAAGAGTGAAAGACTCCTGGAGTTGATCTGCAAGGGGAAGCCCAAAGAGTGCTGGGAAGAACTAAACAAAGTATCTTGTGGTAAAACCAGCATGACAACCACGGACAATGAAGAACTGAAACTGGCCTTGCAAGCCCAGTCTCAGGTAAGAAAGAACAACCGGCACTTCTTCCCCCCAGTGTAAACCTGAACTCATCCTTCTGTCCTCCTTTCAGTCAAGGATGAAAGCTTGCTAGGGCATTTAAAAACAATGGACATTAGAACAAAATTCAGGTCTGGGCGGAGTCTGGGACGGACTGATGGTTTGAAGAGTTGGAGCTTAGTTCCAGTCTGAATAGGGTCATTTGCTGATTATCATTTCTATTTTCAAAAGACAAATCTATAGGGAAACATTAAGAGTACCAAAGTAACTCTGTTACATGTTCAAATGTGAAGTTAATTCCAAATGTTTAAAATATAATTAGAACAACAACAAAGTTTAGAAGATAAGTTGAACTAATTAGAATTCCACTTTTGGAATTCAGGGCGTGGAAAACCCCTGAACTGAAACAGTTCATACTGAGAAAGGAATTTTTTTCCAAAGACTAAAATTCAGAATCAACAATCCTGAAAGTTTGAAATGTCCTGATTTTGTCTCAGCCTTTTTGCAGGCTTTAAATCCCTTCAGCTTCAGTGTCTCGTTGCAGTCTGCCTCGCTTTATCTTTTTTTTTTTTAAAGATTTATTTATTTATTCATATGGAACTGGGGTACAGGCCAGAGATGTGGAGGGTGAGCGGATTCACCAGAGACAGAGTGGGAAGCAGAACAGGCAGATCGAGGAAGTACACTGCTGAGGGGAGCAGTGGGCGGGTCAGGAGAGGTCTGCTTCGCTATGTGGATCTCCTCTGAGGCAGGCAGGGATCGAACTCATGCAGAAATAGCTTTAGCTTCTTAGTGCTGTGGTTTAACCCGCTGCGCCACCAGGGAGGGCCTGCCTCACTTTATCTTAAATTTTCTCCGAGAGGGCTGCTGTTCTTTGCACACAAGGGAACATGAGAATAATTAGTCACTAGCCATAAATGCATTTATCAGTGCCTGAAAACATCTTGCCTAGGGGACTGGTCAGTGGCTCAGTGATCACATTATTCATGCACAGAATTCATTATTCTAATGGCAAATCATATTTAAGAGCTGGGATTTTCTGATTCTTGAATAATCTACACATTTTGCTCTCTAGCATCTGCCTCCTTCTAGTTATTCTTCACACACCATTAATGGTGCGTAGGAAAATAGAGATCAGCTACATCTTGACTTTATTCTTGATTGTTAAAGTGTTGATAAAAATTAAAATGACTGATTTCAGCATGGCAGTGACTATGGCATTATGTAGTCAGGACTCCACAGTCACCACGCCAGGTCCCCGAGAAGACCTTTGCTTTTACATGTCCTGAATTTTTGTTTTCTAAGCTTCTAGGATGGTTCCTGATTTGTCCAGCATCTTTCTTATTTCTGCTCCTCACTTGTCCTCATTGTTGGTGTTAAGTAAGCTACCTTCAACTGAACTTTTGGAAGCTGTCTCAACAGAAGGAGAGGGAGGAGTTGGAAAGTACATTTGTGAACTATGCCGTCAATCTGAGTGACAGAAACCTGGAGTCCTTTTTTGAAAGCAAGAAACCAAATGTCTCCTACCCTGCCTACTTTCGCAGCCTGGGAAGCTGCTTCACAGCTGCATTCTTTCTACCAAGGCCCACAGTACTACAGCACCCTCCATAAGGTGGTAGAAGACGGGCTGGACCATCACCCAGAGGATGATGAGACCACTATGGTTCTTGTGGGCAGTGCCCACAGTGTGTAGCTTGCCCGCCAGATGTCACCTGCATGACTCAGTGCATCCAGGGAGACTCCCATTCTGACATCTGCCTACTGCATCAACAGCAACCTGTGCATCTCTGGGTTTTCCACATGTAGCTTTCTTATAGGACAATAAACAAAGAGAGCAGCTTTGTAACTCCCATGCTCAGACAGTGCCAGGATGTGCTTAAAGATACCACGTCATGGGTTAGGGATGGGCCAAAGGTGCTCTTCCCTCTTTGGGGGTGGGGGTCAGCCCCTTGAATTCTATGATTTTGTGATTCCACAATGAGACTCATGGAAGAGGACCTGCTACTCAAATCATCCTCATGGCTTCAGGGCAAAAGTGGCTTGTAAGTGAGCAAGTTATTCTGAACACAGACTGCCACACACAGTGAGATTTTTATTGTAGTCAGTAAATCTATTCTCTCTCCTTTCAAGGATGTATGAAATCCATTCCTTTGGAACCTGAAGACATTAGTGCTCAAAAACAGCACACTGGCAACATATGATGCCTGACGTGTCTCCTCTGGGCATTGAAAGTACCCCCTGGGCAGTGCTGCATTGTGGCTGGTGTGGCCATGGATGAATTGTCTTTGTGGACCCCATTCTACACTAAGCACACACACAGATTTGTGGTAATATTGATATAAAGACAGATAATATATATTAAAAAATTTTCAACCCAAAAGTTCACTGATTTCCTTCTGATTTGAAAAAAGTTAGCAACACTGTCGACAGCCCCTACAATTATTGTGGGCCCAGACACAGTGCCTGATATGCTGAGGGGGGTAAGTCAGTCCTGACTGGAGTTCTGGGGAAACTGTCCAAAGCAGTGTTGGTATTTTAAACTAGTTTTGCAGTTTTGTATTTATCAGAAATATCCTGCAAACTTTTCACTCAACTATATCATAGATTCATGTTAGTTTGATGCATAAACATATACATCTATATACTAATATTTCATCCCCCCCCCAAATGCTTCTGAATGGAATCATGCTTCAGTAAGAAGCTACAGGTACCTTACATAATAGGGAATCCTCTCTTAGTCTGAGAATCCTGGGTATTGAACATATTCTTGGAAATGTATAGGTGAAGGGTCAATAGTATGTTTGTGTGTGTGGGGGGGTTCATGTGTGAGACAGAAAGGGGTGGAGAGAGAAAGAGAAAAATAAACAGAGAAAGCAGGTGGGAGAGGAAGAGGTGGGGGCTTTGAGTTTGCGGTCTTATTTGGGTTTTAAACACGTGTAACTAATGGTAATAACTGTCCCCTCCGATAAGCCCCAGTTTGACATTTTAACAATTTCTTTGACGAAATTTCAATCAATGGATGTCAGTAAGGTGTAGGTAGGAAGACACATTAACCATGGTTTTTTTGAGCCAGTGTAAGCTTCAAAAGCTTTTAAGCTAGCAGTTTGTTGCATTTCTTCAAGCTGTTTTGAGTGGGGAGGAGCTGCATTTACATTGATCCTAGTGGAATGACTTTGGGGCATCTTTGATCCATCTGGGTTTCACTTTAGTAAAACCTAACATCATACATTCAATGTGGTGCAGAGGCACCAATGGAGAGGTGAACTCTCGTCTCCCTTTAAATCTGGCCTTAGCAAACCAGTGGGCTGTTGCAGCAGTGAAGCCAGATTGTAGAAGTGCTGCAGCTGACTCCTGGCTCTCTTGCAGTGTTCAACATTGTAAAAGCCAGACACCATGTAAGAGGCCCAAGTACCCCCAGCCCCCAGGTCTGACGAAGGCCATGCTCACCCAACAGAGAGTAACAGTGAGAGAGAGAGAGAGATGTCCAGTCACTCTAGCTTACTTGTCAGATATGAGTGAAGAAGTCACTTAAGACATTCCAACCTCAATACAAAGGCCCCAGAAGTATGGTCCCAGTGACTCCATCACAGCCATTTTAGTCACCCCATTAGAAGCTACGAAAATCAGAGTGGTCCCCAATATGTCCTGTCCAAATTCCTGATACAGAAAATCATGTGCTTAATAAACACTGTTTTAAGCCAACAAGTTTGTGATACCATGAAGCAGTAGGTCACCTGAACACTATTACATGAAAATCAGAAGGTAAATTGGATTTACATAAAGATTCTCCTGGTGCATTGGTGTTTCCGTAGTAATTTTCCCTCCTGACTCCAGTTAGCACTAGTTGCTGAATGGTGTTGTTAAGGGGAAGGAATAGGAAACAACCCAGGGAAAGAGAGCGGAATACAAAGTAACTGCAATACCTTACAGCTAGGCTGACTGAACACACCCAGTCAGGCAGTCCGGAGAGCCCTTTCCGGAGCAAGAGAGCGAAAGATGCAATCAAACACCCCATTTATCCCCCAAATGTCCCAGAATTCCTGCTATCTCCTCCCTTGGGTCCCGCAATTCTCTCCTTGGTACTGCTGGGAGTTGTAGTTTCCACTCACTGTAGTGTCCAGAAAGCAGGAGTAGGGGGTGGAGTCCATAAGACTCCGCAGAATTCCTTTAGGACATCCTTCCCCTTAACAGTGTGACTGGGTGGATGCTTGTAGGAGAAATGAAGATTGCTCAGGCTTTTGTGCTACTGGCCGCTGTGGCGTTGACTGCAGGAGGCATTTGGGACCGTGGGCTCGTGCACATGCCCGGTGGTGGACACCTGGCACAGGGCGCAGTCCTGCGTAAGTGGGTGCTCCTGCGGCAAGAGGTTGAGCACGTAAAGGTGGCGACCCAGAAGATGGTGCGATGGTGCCCAGTGGAGATCATCAGAGAGCCCTGGGATTCATGGGGGCCGGAAGGCCTGCCAGCCTCCTGGCCCCCGGCTCCCTGCCTACCTTGCACCTTGTTACCTCACTGCAAATGGTGTAGAGAGATCAACAGGCCTAAAAGCCACTGAGGGCTCTGGACTCTCCTGTGCCCCCTCCTCCCACTGCCGGCCTGCAAGGCAAATGGCACAGATGGCAGGACAGTTCAACACAGACCTGGGGAGGCAGACGCGAGAATATCGGTGACGGACCTCCTCCCTGGGGCGCTCCTGAGTCTCCAGTGCAGGGGCAAGGACTCTACCCACAGTGGGAGGCCCTGGACCCACATGGTGCCTGCTCAGAGGCGGGGCTGGGGTGAGTGTCCCTCTCCGCTGTGAGTGGAGTCAGGACAACGCTGGAGGTGCCATGGCAGGACAGGTCGTAGCCAAAGTCCAGGCGCTGCAGGAAGAGCTGAAGACGCTCACCTATCTTCTACCACCGTAGAACATTGTGCTTCCTTCTCTCTTTGCACTTACCCTGTTCTTGCCCCCTTTCCCTTTAAGGTTTCATTTCTGTAGTCAGCTATCAAGGGTTAATTTTTAAATTTTCTTTATCAGACTACCATTTAACCACATTATGTGTGTATACCCCGTTTCTTGATCCCGTCACCTGTAGTTGAGCACTTAGGTTGTTCTCATAGTTTAGCTATAGCAAAGAGTACCTTAATAAACACAGGAGCACGTTTCCTTTTGAATTTTTGCATAGATACCTAGAATCACTGAACTGAATGGCAGATTTACTTCTATTGTTTTGCAACACCTCCATACTGCTTCCCACATGGGCTGAGCGGGTTATATTCCTACTGACAGAGTAAGAGACTTAGCTTTTGTCTACATCCTCACCAGCACCTGTTGTTTCTGGTCTTTTCCAAATGGGCCATTCACACAGGTGTGAGATACTATCTCACTGTGGTCTTGATTTGCAAATCTCTATTAATGAGGCATTGTGAATTTTTTCTTTTATTCTTTCTTAATTATTCTCTTTTATTCTCCTTCCACTGCTTTTGTGTTCAGAAGTTTTACTCATTTGAAAATTATGAATTATGAACAGATGCACCTATATTTTCCTAATTATTGAAAATTATTTTACTTGGATATTTTCCTATTAAAACATCTGGAATGAATGTAGTCAGTAATGTGGCTTCAACTATTTTTCATGCAAATGTTCAATATTAATCACTGAGCTAGCTAAGCAGCTGATTCAGCATTGATCCTTTGACATTTAATGAAAACTTGTGTTCTGGTAAAATATTAAACAGATACACACGTTTACATATGAGTTCTTTATTTCATTTTGATATTCACATTGACTTTCAATGAAAAATTAAAGTTGAATTATAGAAACAAAATAATCTTAATGTCAGTTGATACTGAATTTTATATTGTAGATATCAAGAGCTACCAAGAAATCTCAACATTTAGAAAATCATGTAACCTGCTTTTTGTTTTTCCTTTGTAATGCAGATTACCACTACAAACAATCCACAAATAGCATTAACTTGAAATTTCTTTTCTTTCAGGGTTCATTAAATTCATTGCATCTACTTTAAGCACAGTCTACTCATTTTTATCATCAAATTTTATAATTAATATTGCAAGAGAAAAATTATTATGTATGTTATAATTCACTTTTTGTAGTTCGCAGATTGTATGAGCTTATTTGATATTGATTCTAGTCTTCATTTAGATCCCAGATAAACTTCAAGGTGAAATCTTTCATCTTCCTTTGGAATATTCTGTCAAATCTTTCATTTTGTTCTACAGTCAAGTGATTTTTCCAGTCTCCAATGGTACCTAGTGGAGAAATTAAAACACATGAACAACACCTAGTTGAGAAGCAGCATTATCAGGGTAAAAGTGTCCATCAACCATCTAATCTTTTTTCCAAATCCAAGCTAAATCCCTATTATTTCTCATGGGTTTGATACTTTGCTTTTCCTCACACATTTGTTAGCTAAGAAATGAATTTAGCAATGCATAAGAAAAATATTTGTAGTCAATTTCCTTGTCTCTTTGCCATCTATCAACCACTACTATTCAGTTATAGTCTTTCTTATCAGGAAAACCAAAACCAAAATATATGAGTAGATTAATATTTTAAAATATATTTTACTAAGTGTGAAGCATCATATTATGGCAAACTACCACTACCATAATTTATAATCTTTAATACAAACATACAAGGTAGGTATTTCTTCAATTTTGAAATTGTATAACAAGACATTTCAGGTGATGAAGTCAAGGTCACAGAGGATGCCCACACCTGCCATTTCACAGTTTTACTTGAAAGATGTTTAAAACCAACATAGAGTGAAGTTTTTAAATGAAAATGAACAGTTTGACATCCTCAACAGCAGAAGTTTCTTGTGTAGGAGGTAATGTAGGGATAAAGCCTCAGCACTCTCACACTGTCTAGAGTTCAATGCCAGGCCACGGAGGTGACCCACATGGTGCAGCAGACTTCTCAGGGCTCGCCTGTTGCTCCCCTCAGTAGTGTGTTTCAGTAGCTCTGCCTGTTCTGTTCCCAACTCTCTGTCTGCTGAATCCTCTCACCCTCCACAGCTCTGACTCATACCCCAGTTCTTCTACGCATAAATCAATAAATAAACCTTTGTTAACAAAAGTTTTTTTGTGTAGACACTGCTATTGGCATTAGTAAGTTTTCATGAAAACTGCATCATATCTGACCTAGTTGAGAAAAAAAATCAATTTAAAAAGTGGGTCAAAAGAAGGCACAATATTTTAAAATATTGTTATCTAGAAAAAATAAGTAATATATCCACTCAATTATGAATTAACCAATGTATGTCATGATAAATATTATGGAAACATTAAAGAATAAAATAGAGAATAGACTATGCATCTTTCAGAATGATGTAAATTCAGAAATTAAACAATTTTATTATTTAAGGAACAGTAGGAGGAAATATATACTTTCTTAGTGCTTGGTATATTACACGAGTACAATGAAAGTTCATTGCATGCTCTTGAATAATAAAATCCACAGCAGATTGGGATAATGAGGTCAATCTACCTTGGGCATTGAAGAAATTTGACACATGAAAAAATAAACCAATGGCATCTCCCACACAAAATATATATTAAGCAAATTTCTAGAATTTTCTAGTAAAAGTTGAAGTCTCCTGGCTATATATATATGTATATCCACTGTCTTCAGGTAAGACTAGCAAACAAATGTTAAAGTATAGCGTCATGTGAATTAGAAGGTGATGCACAATTGTTTGTTAGGCTCGAGTGTCAGACTCTGTACTGGAAAACGTTCAGAATCCAGGGATGCTTTCAGGGCCATTTAAAGTTAGGATCTTTGATTCTCCTCAGGCCCAAGTATCAGTATTGGAAGTATGTTAGAAGTATTCCTTATTTAGTATAGTCAAAAATGCAAGTGAACATTCAAGATTTTTGCTGTTATAAAACCACCAACCATCACCTTTGCGCAGGAAATGTCCTTCATCTGTCCTTACTCCAATTTCATTTTTTAGTATATTATTATAATTTGCTCGTGGATCAGACTTCATATTCTGAAAAGTAGCCTGGCTCACAACAGCATTTATGTCATCTTCACTCAGCTCTTTCTCAACAAATCTACTGATTTTATGCACAGAACTTCTGAGATCCTGAAAGAATTGTGAGTATATGTAACTGTTCAGTTCATAGGGAATGAATGTGCTACAATCTAATATCTTTATCTCCTTTGGGAAAACTGAAGGCTTTTTTTTTTTT